CAGACTTGACTAAGTATAAACCACCTTTGGCAGCTTCTTGATTCGATGCTTGATGTACATGTACTTCCGCTATCAAATCTTCAATAGCATGAACTCGCTGGTTTATGATCTCTACTCGGACTAAAGCAGTAAGGCAAATAAGCAGCGAAACAAACGAAACAGGAAAAACAAATTTTGATGAAAGTTTGTGAGATTCACAAGAATGCGAGAGTTCCTCTTTCTCCTCCATCATAAAAGGGCTTGTTTAGTACACTGAGACTACGTCTGACTACGTATCCTTTACCTCCCCTGCAGTCTTCGGTGGCCAATGTAATGCGATTCTAGTGATGATACTGAAATCCTATATTTATGACACAGAGGTCGTACGGCTTTGGATTTCTTTGCGAAAGGTTTGTTTTTAGGTACCAGGTTCTGACAGATGATTTCTGAGTCACGGACAACGCTGATGTTATGTGGTTCAATGGGATATGTTATGGGTTTCGTGGGAATATTCCTGAAACGGAGAGCGGGGAACGAGCACGTAAAAGGAAAAACTAAAAGTTACTTTACCGGTAATCCTGATAGAGCTAAAGTTCTAGTCAGGTTTTGCTCCCATTTTTTCATTTCCCCAAGGTTCCCGTTGCTCGTTTCCAGCTCCCCGCTCCCCGTTTCCGATTTAATAACATTTGTTCCATGGTGGAAACTCTTCCAAATAGTTGGTAAACTACTAGAACCCATATTTAGATAATCAAAAGTTTGTTTTGGATTAAAATTGGGCTTTCTAAGACTGTATCTGCATTCCGGCTGAGTATTGTGCAATTCAGTTGCACAATCGCTTTAGCCCATTCATCAGAAGTTAATTATCTTCATAAACAAAATTCAGACGATAACCTTACTTTTTTAAAATAAATGAGAAAGACAAAGTATTATTAATCATAGAAAAGCTGGAAGATTCTCAGCAACAGCACATAAAAAAGCGGCAATGTTTAAAAAAACGCATTTTAGTATCATTTTTTTTACAAAGTTTTCTTACAATCACAAATACACTATACAAGTCAGAGTATTTCTTTAACGCTATCTATACCAAATGCTTATTCAACATTGAGGTAAATAGGTGATTTAAAGTTGCGTTAGGCCACTATTCACCATGATTCAAAGAATTATAATTATTTTTAGTAAATACACTGCACGAACTGATATCGACAGAAGCAGTAAAAAAATCACAAAAAAAAAAAAAAACGATTGCCACTTAGAGCCTCGATAAAACAAAAAGCAAAGGGACTGACAATGTACGTTTCCTATAAAGAAGTTTTGTTATTTCGAGGTGCTTTCCCATATATGTTTACCATTAGTGCGGTGAAGAATATAGTTCTTTATTCGAAGGACTTCGTTAGAGGCTCGTTAAAACCGAGGTTCCACAGTAGTGTGATTAACTGATCACGTTCATGCGTGAACATATACGGTAGATGCGCAAAAGTTGTCCCATTCTTTTTCTCAAAATGGCGTGCTTGGATGGAAGGGTTTCCATTGATAATGTGTAACAATCATGAGAAGTCAAAGCAATTGGCAAACGGTATTTTACTTACATTAAGTACTACAGCATCAAACAACTGGACAGAATTTTAAATACGGCATTTTGCTGTTATTGTTGTCAAGAAGTAGTCTGCGAGCAAGGTCTCCATGCGATTATGATGGTGAGCGAAGCGAACCTCGAGAGAACGCGAGAGGGAGCGGCAAAGCCACGAGGGGCGTACAACTCTCGCATGACTTCTCGCGACTTCCCCAAATGGAGAGCTTGCGCAGGTTAGTGTAGCCTGCAAAACAGTTGTTTCTCTTCGTTTATCGCCGCTGGGGACGTCTCGCGAGGAGGAACGTCTGCGACTCGGCGACAGAAGTTACACACTAATGACGTAAATCAATGTTTACATAATAAACCGTTCTTGAGTTGTTTTTCGCCGCGAACTATCAGGAATGGAAAGAAAATGTATCCTCTGGCACCCAGGAAAGAAACTCCTCCTCCTATGTGCTCAACCTTCTACAGTGAACTCTTGCTATTGACCCTTGGGACCACAAGTAAGTACGCATACGTACGTAGGTACGTATGAGTGGAAGTTTATTTAAGGAGCTGTTTATATGTCACAGGAATGACTCGCATTCCGGAATGAGTTTCGTTCCAGAATGAAGTTGTGGTGCATTCACATGAAAAAACCAAACGGCTCAACCAAAGGCGTTCTCTCTCGCGTGGTTTTCGCTTCTGTAATTTTCAATCCCGCGGAAAGAAGTCCGTTTTTAGTTAATATGAAAACAGAATAAAATTTCGTCCCAGAAAGAAAATTTCAGTCGGAATGAAAAACGGAATGACTGGTAAGGGGAGAAAATTTCATCTCGGTGTCCCCAATATTTTAACAGATGGAAAGAAATTGATGGTGTTGGATGAACTCGTTCCGGAATGAAAGCGGCCCGTATCACGTAAAAAGCCCTTTAGTCAAGTGTGTGTTATTTAGTTTAACCAAGTATTTAGCTACTGTTCGTATTATCAGGGGTGAGAGTATTGGTAAGGGCGAGTTTCAAGGAATGAGTTGACTCTACATATAATCTTTATGCATTCCTTTTCCGATTTCACTGAAATTTATATATCCTTTGGACTGAAATAGTAGGCATTACATTATCATATGAGTTTTTATGATATGGCTTTTCGAAAGTTAGAATACAAGTGAACAGCCCCTAAGCCACCCTGCCTTGGGGATTTTCTTCTTCTTCTTCTTCTTCTTCTTGTTATTATTATTATTATTATCATTATCATTATCATTATCATTATCATTATCATTATCATTATCATTATCATTATCATTATCATTATCATTATCATTATCATTATCATTATCATTATCATTATCATTATTATTGGGGGGAGTGGGGTTGGCTTATGTTGATTTGGGAAGGAAATAAATTA